ACTATTAACCTAATCCCACAGCCCTGAGTTTTTTGCTGCGCCTCTCTCCCTGGATGCATCTCTTAGTTACACATACTCTACCTCAAATTCAACATGGAAAACTATATCCAACTATGCTTCTAAAAAAGATAACATTCCTGAATTATCTAGGCTCACATCTCAATGTTGTGCTGGATTCCAACCATCTCCACAAAATCATGAGTTTCCTTTGTTAATTTAATCTGGCAACTATCTCTTTCCCATTCTCATGTCCATACTCCTTGTCCAAGCTCCTTCTTCTCATTGCACAACCATTCAGATTTTGGTCTTCTAACCATTTCTCTTAAGACAATTTTTTAGATAATGAGCACTTGGAATCATAAAATCATACAATGTGTTCTACGATCTCTACTCTTAAGTGTGGAAGACTCCGGTCTCAATTTTCCTTTTTAATCCAAGTTACATTTGGCATTTGTCTATGTTTCATGACAACCATAGAAAGGAATCATGGAGAGCTGCACCCATTTGAGAGGCATTCTGCAATTTGGGAGAGCATTTCTTTTCTCTTTTAAACTTATTTTCATTTTATTTGAAAGGCAGAGAAACTGAGACAGAGGAGTCTTCCCTATGCTGTTTCACTCCCCAAATGTCTACAGCAGCTGGGGCTGGGCCAGGTAGAAGCCAGGAACCTCGATCGCCCATTTGGGTGGCAAGGACAGAAGTACTGGACCCATAACCTCTGCCTCAAGAGTGTACATTAGCAGGAAGCTGAAATTGGAAGCGGAGGTAGGACTTGAACCCAGGAGCACTGCATACCAAGCATGGCATCCCAAGCATTGTCTTAACTTCTGGGCCAAATATACACCCGTTAGGAGAGCGTTTCTGAGCCATAAAAGATTAGACAACTAAGTCATCTGGGCTATTGTCAGTAGTGACAATCACACTTACCTATGAGACCAGGTAATGTTGTACCCCAACCAATCTTATAATAAACAGTGACATTAGGACCATTGTGTGGGGCAAAAAAATAATATTAACAACTTTTAATAAGGCAGAATAAATAACCTTGCTGCTTAAGGCATTAATCTGAATTTCCTTTTCCTACTGGTAGAAAATACCTTAGAAACTATTGACTTAAAATTTTATGTAGATTCAAATGGTCTTAAAGATACATCTTATTATTTTATTTCTCTTCCTAATGAATGTATCATCTAAATGCTATAACACAGACACAAAAAGACATGTAAAATTCCATTTGTATGAGGTGCCTAAAATGTCAAATCCATAGACACAAAGTAGAATGGTGGTTTTCAGGGACTGAAGGAGGGAGCAGATGAGAGTCACTGTTTAGTGAGTATAGAATTCAGTTTCAATATCATTCTTCTAGACATGACATAAGGTTGAAATATAATGATGTAAAACTTGCTGTCAAGGAACACGATTTGAAAAATGGTAATGTACAAGTGAGAATCCAAGCAGTGACAATGTCATTGCGTTCTCACACCAGGAAGGACTGAAGACTTACTTGCATTCTTTTTAGGTACATTTGGTTTCTGTTTAGTCATCTCTTGCCAGGCCTGAACTTGGTGACAGGATACTTCAGTCTGGGAGGCCTAAGTATTCCTAACTGAAAAATATTAATAACTCAGCAGTAACACTTATTGAGTATATATTAAGTGCCATGTTTAAGTGCCAGACATGATCTAGGCCAAGAAAAAATGTTTTAGGCATATTTATTTATTTTTTACTTATTTGACAGGTAGAGTCATAGATAGTGAGAGAGAGAGACAGAGAGGAAGGTCTTTCTTCCGTTGGTTCACCCCTCAAATGGCCACTACAGCCAGAGCTACGCTGATTCAGAGCCAGGAGCCAGGTGCTTCTTCCTGGTCTCCCACGCAGGTGCAGGGGCCCAATCACCTGGGCCATCCTCCACTGCCATCCCAAGCCACAGCAGAGAGCTGGACTGGAAGAGGGGCAGCTGGGACTAGAACCTGGTGCCCATATGGGATGCCGGCACTGCAGGAGGAGGATTAGCCAAGTGAGCCACGGTGCCGGCCCCAGTTTTAGACACATTTAAAAACATCACATATTAGCTTACTATTTCCTACTACCTATTTGCTCTTAGAAATCAACAAAGCCCCACATGTCCCACTTTAGAACAGGAAAACAGAAACATTTCTCTGTGCCAGTAACCATGCCAAAGAGTGCTTCAGCCAATATTTGCGGAGCTCACCACGCAGCTGACAGTGCCACATACTGTGAAGTGGAAATTTTTGGAAACACCACATTGCAATCCTTTAAAAATCTCATATGAAAACAAGCTTACAGGTATGGACAATCTTTTATTTGGAAAGCCGATTCTCTTGGAAAGATTCCGATTCAATTATCTTAGTGGAGAAAATAGCACATGAAAACAACAGTTCAAAACTGACAGTAAACCCACCTCAAAGCAAGGCCATTTCTGGGGTTCCTCAAGTAAGTGGGTTAATGTGGCATAAGAGAAAGCCTGACTAGCAGGTATAATTAAAGTATGAATCACAGAGTAAGTCATGAGTAACCCTGAAAGCAGCTACAAGAAAAAAAAGTCCATTGTAACATACAAAGCTTTGGGGACTAATAGAAGACGAGAAGGAGGGAAAAAGTCCCGATTCTGTGTTAATACAATGATGGGCCTAGGTGGAAACATGCTAATAATGGCATCAATGCATTGTTGGTACATTACCTGTGTCAGGCTCTGAAACAGCATGTTCTGCTTCATGTTACACAGGTACACATTCTCAGTATTTTCTGAGAGCTGCTTGAGGTCAGGAATAATGCTTTGCTTTATCTTTCTCTGTAAATCACTTCTCTGGCCAGATCCTAATAATGTAGACAGTAGGCATAAAACAGGCAACTACAAACATGAATGAGTAAATGAAAGCCCATATCTTAGAATCTAGAATGTATCTGCCCTGGCACGTAAGACTTTTAAAGAACACTGAAAACTGACACCCAACATATTATGTGCTACTTATCAAAGACTGTTGATGCATTTTTGAAGAGTTAATCATCGGACTTTGATTTAATGAAAAACAAGAAAAGATTGCTATGTTTTGTTTCCTATGTCAGTGACTGGCAACACATTTAGTTATTTGGAAGAGCAACGTGGCAAAAGTTGAAAGGAAACCATTTATTTGGCCTGACTAGTTTCTTGTCTTTCAGGCTGTGTGATGAATGGTGGTAAAATCACATTAGGTGAAAAGCAGCCCACTGCTGTTTATTTAATTCCATGAACTGACAAACAGCCTTACTGCCTCCCACCCACCACCCACAGGAGGAATATTAATTTAGTTGACAGACACAAGTTCAACACTTGGAGTTAAGATGACTCTGTTGGTAATTGGCCATTTTGCCAACGTGTTGAGGACTAATGATGTCAACATGGGCGGAAGGTTTGCTAGATCTGATTTCCCTGACCCAATAGATTAAACCAAGTCATTTACATATATACATTTACATATATCATTTGCATGATCAGGTCTTCTTAGCACAAGGTTTACATGGTTTTCTTAATGTTGATGTATACTTAAGCAATTAGAAACTGAAGTCTTGACAGTTCTTGAACTTAATTGGGAAAAATGTAAAGCAATTTAAGGGAATTTTTCCTATGATATGTACTTTTTTTTAACAGATGGTTCAAATGGACAAAGCAGTGAAAACACAGAAATTAAAAGCAGATCCTTAAGAAAAATAACTGCGTTCTCAGAAATCCTGCAGGTGAGGGCAGGATGAGACGTAAACCAGCAGTTTCTTTTGCTGTCAAGATTTCAAAAGAACAGAAAATTTACGAGGTGAATGTCTACCAAAGAACGGGTAACTGTCTCTCGGCGGGAATTAACCATTCAGTTGAAACTCCTGCCCACTTCAACAATTTGAAGATCTCTCCGTGCTTGTAGGTCAATTCTATCCAGGTGCCAATACGATCTACTGCGGCGCAAATAGGTATTCTTCTAGAATTAGGAGCACCAAAATCCAAGGTGCTTTCTTCCAGAGTGAGGTTCACTTAAAATTTCCCACCTTCTCGCAAAATGGGGGGAGGGAAGACAACAAAAAGCAAAAAACTCAAGACTCCCAAGGCTGGACCCACTAAAGAGAGAAGGGTGCGAAAGAGGAGAACTTTTCAACCTGGAGTTTCTGTGCGTTTACCGGCGACGCGTGAAGTAAAAGCTAAACCCACGCTAGAAAGTCGTTCCCTCCCGTGCAAGCTAACGAATACGCGACCTTCAGGGAAAGCTACCCTTAGTTCCTCTGCCAGACGATTCTAGGGAGTGGGTGGCGGGAGGGACTGCAGGGAAGCTCTGAGGGTAGCTGGAGAGCCTTTTGGGGAGCGGAGGACGCTCGGTCGCCAGGGCCAGCTGGAGCCCGGCGGCCCAGGTGGGTCGGGGTGGACCGCGCGGGCGCAGGCAGCCTGGGAGCGCCGCGCGCGCGGCGGGGCGGGGGCCCGAGGGTCCCGGGGCGAGGGGGCGGGGTGGGAGCGCCGCGGCGGCGGCGGCCGAGAGGAGGGTCCGCGAGCCCGACCCGAGTGCACGCCGTTTGAGCCTGCGTCCGCCGAGGGGGCGGGTTTCCCCGACGCGGCCGGAGTTGCCGCTGGGCGCTTCAGGCTCACAGCGCCTACGACTGTCAGGCGAACGGCGGAGCGGAGCTGCCGGAAGTGTCGGCGCGCCGGGAGAGAAACTTTCCTGCTCCGGCGCCGCCCGGAGCCTGGCCGCCCCGGGGCTCGCTGCGACGATGCGCCCAGATGACAACGACCTGAGGGGACCCGCACCTCGGCCCGCCGCCCGCGCCTGCGCTCGCCTCGCCTCGGGGGAGGAAGACTGAGCCCCGCGCAGGCGGCGCGGCGCGCGGGGCCCGTTTCCTCTGCGCGGTCCCCCAGCGTCCCCGGCGATCCCGCGTGCCCGCAGCGCCCGCCGCGCTCGCAGCTTCTCCCGCCCTGACCGCCGCCCGGGGACGTGCCCCCGGCCGCCTCCGGCAGTGCCTGTGCCATGGGGCTGCCCACTCTGGAGTTCAGCGATTCCTACTTGGACAGCCCGGATTTCAGGGAGCGCCTGCAGTGTCACGAGATTGAGCTGGAGCGAACCAACAAGTTCATCAAAGAGCTCATTAAGGACGGCTCTCTGCTCATTGGGGCGCTGAGGAGTAAGTGGGGCTGGCGGGGCAGAGTGGAGAGGGCGTCGGGGTCCAGAGGGTCCCCGCGGGGTGCGAGTCCTAGGGCTGGGACGGCGGAGACGGAGCTTCTTTTGTTTGAATGGGTTTGGGGACAAAGCTGAAGAGCTCCCCTGCTGGTGGCCGGCAAAGTTTGTTCTTAGGTGTTCTTTACTTATTTACTCCCAGGACTACAGAGAAGGGAAAGTTCTCCGCCGGCCACCCTGTATAGCCAGAGGAAAGTCATTCAAGGTCATCTTTTTGAGTAACGCCCCTGCAAAGATGTGGGGGGACTTTTAGTCTTTTTTTTTTTTTTTAATATTTTGTTCCTAATTTGAACTCCTTAAAAAATGCCTTAAAGAGGTGGGGAGGTGGGGCGTGGGCGGTGTCGAAAAGTTTGTTTTAAGAATAAAATTGAACTTATTTAGTGATATTCAAAGAAAATTGTTAATTTCTTACGTTCATCAGTGACGACGCATCGGGCACGGTCTTTGAGTTGGCTTTTTTTTCCTTTAACACACATCTGCAGTTTTGCTATTGAGCAAGACTGGTGGAAGACAGCAAAGCACTAGCCGGTTTTAACTCTTTGCAAGGTTCTGTGCATCTTGATTTCTGGTTTGCATTGCGTGCGGCGTTGGTCCAGAGGACCGGGATCAGAGGTCAGGGGTTAAAGGCTGGAGAGAACTTCCGGTGATCTGTAGCCTGTGAATACCCTGGGGTAGTGTTTACTACGATTGTGGAAAATGTGGTTGATCCTCAGTTCTCTGCACTCTGTGTCTACACAAATGAGAAGTCACCTCCCAAATTTTGCAGATTTCAGGACATGCCTCCTGGCATCTTATGGGGTTCTTCTGCCTCTTCAGCCACACACCTCCTGCCTGGATTGTCTTTCATTCCTCTGGCTTTTCACTTTCAATTACTAAGCGTACATGAGCCTTGGCGTTTCTTATGTGGAGTCAATTCAGTCATGAGGCTTGGCTTGTCACCTTTCCCAGGGTGCTGTTTTCTTCTGAAGAGAAGTTCCTGAATGCTTTTCCTGCGAGACAGGTGCCTTGGATCGTCAGCCTCTGATGACTGGTTGCATCAGCCTCTGATGACTGGTATTCTCACAAGGTAGAGAAATCTGTGGGTGATCTTGCAGTCCTCGGGACATGCATAGGAGTAGCGTCATTGTATATGCCAAGTGGAAGGCCAGTGACTACACCAAGGGGATGTGTGAGGACCTGAAACCAAGACCACAGTAGCATCTGTGCTGGACTGTGAAGCTTTCTTACAAATAGTAAGGATCCAGCTTAGCAGGATGTCTTGAAGTGAGTGTGCTTTGAAATTGTCTTATATTTTAGCCATCCCAAGTGCTAAAACATTTACCACTTGTGTTACTTACTCTGGGTTGGAGAAATACTTGCTTTTTTTTTTATTTTGTCAGTATTCACTTAATTTCTGAATGTGAGGCCTCCCTCAACTGATAGTAGCGTTTACTCTGATTATGAAAAATACGGTGGATCTTCAGCTCTTTCCACTCTGTGTATTTCCAAGTTTGAGCTAATGTTCCACGTTTGGCAGATTCCGGTTGGGATTTCAGGACACACCTCTTGGCATCTTCAGGGATTCTTGAGCCTCCCTTGCCACACACCTCCTGCCTGGATTTTCTTCCCTCCATCTTTTATCCTCCGTGTCTTCACCTTCAGTTTCTGAGAGTTTCTCACATAGGGAGTTGAGTGACTAAACGACAAGGCCTGGTAACTTTCCCAGGATGCCTCTTCCATAGGACCCTCCCTGTCCTAGAGTGGTGACTGCTAAGCCAGCTGTAGCTGGGGTTTTCTCCTCACACTGAGGGTGATCGTGATCAAATTCAGTGTCTCAGAAATTGAAAATACTTACATACTTCTGGTAAATGCTCTGACATGTACAGTATTGGGCTAGTGATACGATGTATTTTCTTAGGATTCTTAAATCTCCCCTTGTAAAAATCGGGCGATTCCCATCTTTACAGATTTGCCTTTCCATTTGTAGATGAAGAAATCGTGAATGTAATCTCCGGGCAGGTTCAGCCCCTGCTTCATTAGACTTGGCCTTATGTGCTTAAATGTATAATCGGCTGTCCGTCAAGGATTTTTATGTTTGTGGTGAGAGGGTACTACTTTAGCTAACATTTGGTTATTACTTCTTTTATTGTGAAAGGAAGTTGTTTAATTCCTTTGAAAACAGTTCCCAACCTCAGCTGTCAAATGGGAGAGATTTTAGAGCAAAGGAACCCTGGCAGTCACATTAGACAGCACTGCTGTTTTCCCACCAAGCCAGCTTCTGTCCCCTGGGAGGATGCTCTGAGTCTAGCCAGCAGCTGTTATGTGCCTGTTCTCTGCAGCTGCTGGGATAGGAAGAGTGTGTTTAAAGGACTTGAAGTCTGCTTCGTTCTATCCCAGACCCCTACGTCCTGTCTGTCCATCCTATTTCTTCTTCCTGTCTGAGGAGGCTTTTACCTACCCTGAATTTATAGCAACTATTTCTTTTCTTTTTCTTTCTTTGAAAGAGTTACAGAGAGAGGGAGAGAAAGAGAGAGATCTTCCATCCACTGGCTCACTCCTCAACTGTCTGCAACAGCAAGGGCTGGGCCTGGCTGAAGACAGGAGTCAGGAGCTTCATCCGGGTCTCCCATGTGGGTGCAGGAGCCTGAGCACGTGGGCTATCCTCTGCTGTTTTTCCAGGCACATTAGCAGGTAGCTGGATTGGAAATGGAGCAGCTGGGACTTGAACTGGCACCCATTTGGGTTGCGGGCATTAGATGCCGGCATTGCAGGTGGCTGCCTAACTTGCTACACCACAACCCTGGCCCTGTACCAGCTATTTCAGTGGCTATATCCATTATCCATTTCAGGTGTGTATGTGTGTATTTTTAGCACTTTGCTGTTATTTTCATTAATAACTAATTGTTTCTTAACATAATCTTATTTAGCTGATAATCATCCATGTATTTATAAGCATTTTATATTACTTTTCTCATTGTTATTAGCTTCCCTGGTGATGGTTTTGGCCTGCCCTCTGTCAGTATGTGCATGACTGTGTAGTGAGTCACACATGCGTCTTGGTCTGTGATTGAAGATGTAGTTTCTCTAGTAGACTAGTAAATGTCCTTATAAATGGACTAACTTATTTCAGTTAAAAATAATATATGTAATATTCTTAGTGCATTTTAAAAATGCATCATAACATTTTATATTCACAAGCACGTTGAGAAAAAGGATGATAATTAAGTGTATCGATTTAGACTTGAGATCTGAATTCTGGTGTCAAGTGATTTGTAGCTTACGTAAGTTAACCTCACTGAGTCTTAACTTTTCTTTGAAATGAAGAAAGCAGTATAGCCCATAAGGGTGCTGGTTTGAGACTCAGCTGCTCCATTTATCCAGTTTCCTGTTAATTCACCTGGAAAAACAGAGGAAGATGGACCAAGTGCTTAGACTTCTGCCACCCAGGTAGGAGACATGGAAGAAGCTCCAAGCTCCTGGCTTTGGCCAGCCCCGGGTGTTGTGGCCATTTGGGGAGTGAACCAGCACATGGAAGATCTTGCTCTCTCTCCCTCTTCTCTCTCTCTGTATAACTCTGCCTTTCAAGCAAATGAATAAATCATTTTTAAAAAATGAGATTCTATAAAAACAATTCTTTACCCTTTTAAATATTAATTTGAAAAACAGAATGACAGGAAGAAAAGGTCAGAGAGAGAGAGAGAGAGAGAGATATGTTCATCTGCTGCTCCACTCCCCAAATGGCAACAACAGCCAGGGCTGGGCTGAGCTGAAGTCAAGAGTTAGGGACTGCATCCAGGTCTTCCATATGGGTGGCAGGGGCCCAAGTACTTGGGGCATCTTTTCCTGTCTTCCAGGAGCAGTAGCAAGAAGCTGTGTAGTAAGTGGAGCAGCTGACACTTGTGCTGGCATTCCTATATGGGATGTGGGGCACACAAGTGGCGGCTTCACTCCTTGTGCCAAAACGCCAACTCCCTTCTCCAACTTTATTTCTTTAACAGATGATAATCTTAAAAATTTGAACTGGTGAAATCTTGTTATGTTTGCTGATTTTTTTTTCTTTTTAGGAAACATTTCAAATTTTTTTTCTGATAGTACCCCCTTTACTTTTTCTTTGTTTCTGAACCCATACAATTGTATTCAAGTAGAATATGCATTGTCCTTGCAAGAATACAGACAAAAAAATTGCTGAGTAGATGTTAAGTGTTTTAATCATAAGAAAGTAGATGAGGAAATACATGTATGAGTATTAGCTTGACCTAGCCATTCCACAATGTATACATATCAAAACAGTACATTGCATATCATAAATATACAGTTTTTATTTGTCAATTAAAAAATAAAACAAAAGTTATCTTCCTTGAATTGAATTGGCTGAGTAGGGAGAGAGTGTTGCTAACATTCTTCCATCCTGCGCTGCAACATCTTGCCATCCTGCCTTCCTTATCATGGTATTCCTCTCATTGCCTCAAGCTGGAATTAACCAACTGTTTGGTCTGGTTTCAGAATATTTTTTCTAAACTTGTATGTTTGGGATGCTCTTAAACAAAGAAAAAAAACTAATGGGCTCTAATATTGATTTAATTACTTATTATGTTAGGTATATGCAAGCATGAAACTATAATCTTATGCTTATTATGTTTTCACAGTTTTTTTTCTTTTAGAGACTTATTTGTTTATTTGAAAGGCAGAGTTACAGAGAAAGAGGGAGAGACAGAGAGGGAGATCTTCCATTTCCTGGCTCATTCTCCCATATGGCTACAATGGCCTGGGGCTGGGCCAGGCCAAAGCCAGGAGCCTGGAACTTCATCCACATCTCTCATACATTTTGACAATCTTAAAAGCAAATCAGTTCATAATTTAAATGTAAACAATATTGTAAAACCATTACAAAACTTTTTTTAAAAAAAGATGTATTTATTTATTTGAAAGAGCTATGGACCACTGGTTCACTCCCCAGATGGCCACAAT